ACTGTCATTTTTATACCTTTCTTTGATTTTTTTTTCCGTAGCCTCTTGGGTATACATTCCTATCTTTGGGTCTTTATATTACTTCGAGTGTCCTCTCTAGGGCTGGTTTAGTGGACATAAATTCTTTCAGCTTATTTGTGTCATGGAAAATTTTCCCCTTTGACTATGATATATAGTTTTGCTGGATAAAGTGTTCGGGGTTGGCAACCATGGTCATTTAGAACTAGGACTACTTTGGTCCAGGCTCTTCTGGCTTTCATAGTTTTCATTGGAAAGTCAGCTGTAATTCTGATGGATTTTCCTTTATATGTTTTTCTCTAGCAGTTTTCAGTACCATCTCTTTGTTCTGTACATTTAATGTTTTTACTGTGATATGCTGCCTGTGGGGAGTTTCTATTCTGGTCACATCTAATTGGTGTTCTAATGTAATAGAGTACGGGACCACTGGGAAAGACCACTCAGACTCAAGCAGATTGGAATTAGTCAATTTTTTATTCTAACTATTCATAGGGAACAAGGTGTCCGAGGGTGGGTACGGAACCTGTGGTTACTTTCTAAGTAGGGAGGAAGTCTTTAAAGATAAAAACCACATTGCTTCATTGGTGTGGAATGTGCAGCTGCCAAAGAAAGATTACACTTCCCTCAGAGCCTAATGATAAGCAGGTATACAGAGCCAAACAAACAGTAATTAATCACCCCATGACAGTCACGGGACTGAGGGGTGGTTCAGGGGGTCTGGATTACATTTCATTGTTACACAGTCAAAAGAGCTCTTCTAAGTAAACAGGTAACAGCGTCTGGGTGGTGACACTGCTGTCTGTGGTCAGCCATTACCCAGAACCAGGCCTCTGAGGGGAAGGGAGGAGGTTGTTGGAGCCAAGTTCAACCTTAGGTCTGACTTTCCTGTGACAAAATAGTGGCGAGGGTCAAGATGGAGTCCCCTGCGCTAGCACACTATGTGCTTCTTGAATCTGTACAGGTAAATATTTCCTTAATTTAGGGAAGTTTTCTTCTATAATCCTGTTGAAGATCTGGTCAGTGCCATTGGCCTGAGATTCTTCTCCTTCCTGTATGCCTATGATATGTAGGTTTGGTCTTTTCATTTTGTTCCACATTTCCTGCATATTCCATTCTTGTGTGTTTTTTTTTTTAAATTTTACATAGTCTTTGCTTAAGGAGTCCGGATCTTCCACTTTATCATCTAGTCTAGATAATCTGTTTTCCATTTTGTTAGGGTTCCAAACAGCAGCAGTTTCCCTCCTCCCCAACAGGGACCTCACCTTGACCTTTGAAGTCAAAGGAAACAAACTCTGCTGAGAAGCAGCCTGCCTTTCCTCTGATCTCCAAAGATAAGATAAGCAGATTCTACCTGATAACCAGAGATTTTAGAAGTTGTTTATCATAACAGCTTTTCTCTTATCTTAAGAGGGAAAAGTAAACACTTCCAGACCCTAATCCTACCTGCTCCGCCTGCTTCCCCCTCCCTGATTTCTCCCCCAAACATTCCTCCCTTCTACACCCTAAAGCCCCCATATATAAAGTCCCAGCTCACAGCCCGTGGGCTGACATCTTTCCCTTCCCTGCCCTTTGCTGACATCTTTCCCTGACATCTTTCCCTTCCCTTCCCTTCCCTGACATCTTTTCCTTCCCTGACATCTTTCCCTTCCTTGACATCTTTCCCTTCCCTGACATCTTTCCCTTCCCTGAGGGAAACGTGTCCCGTGTGAAATAAAGCTGTATCCCGCTGAGAATTCTATCTGTGCCTCGGTGCCTCATCCATCCGCTCGTGCTCTCCATCCGCACTCGCTCTCCATTCCAATATTTACCTATCACATTTCATTCGTTCTTGTGAGATTTTCTCCTGTTGTTTCCATTGAGTTTTTCAGTTCCATGTTCACCTCAGTTTCGGTTTTCTTCAATATTTCTCTCCCTTTTGTGAATTCACTTTTCAGGCCCTGAATTGGTTTTGGTAGTCCATTAAGCCATATAATTTGTATTTTCTTGAGCTTCCATCACAGGTTTCTGCCTGTCCTCTCTGAGTACTTTGACTTGTATTTTCTTGAAGTTCTTGAAGTTCTTGGATCATGTTTATGATTGTTCTTTTAAATTCTGCATCCTGTAGTTCCCTGGATTTGTCATTGCAGTGCACTTCTGAAGGACTTCTGAGGGTTTTGTTGGGGACATACTCTCTTGGTTTTTCAGGCTGTGGTTTTTTGCTGCCATTTGGGCATATGGATGTTCTTTGTTGGCTGTTTGTCCAGTAGGAACTTCTATTCTGCCTTTGTTTGGTTGAATTTTGGTTCTGTTCATATTGTTTATGTAGCTTGGTTAGTCTTGGCAGAGTCCTAGGTATGCCAGTTTGTCAGGTAGATCAGGAACCAGGGGAAGATGGGGGTGAGGACCACCTGAGGAGGGATTTAGCAATCTATGCTAGGGGTTTTAGCTAATCTGGGTTAGGAAGCTAGTCCAGAGATCTGAGGCAGAAGAATTGGAGTGGGCTTGTGTCCAAGACTAGCACGGAACAGGGTAGGGGTAGAGTAGATTGGCAATGTTGAGGCTGTAGAGGAATAGACTAGAGATGAGGTAGGTGGGATCTGACTTACCAGAGTACTGGGAGGGCAGGTGTATCAGGCAGATCAGGAACCAGGGGAAGATGGAGGTGGGGACACTTGAGGAGGGACTTAGCAATCTGTGCTAGAGGATTTAGCTAGTCTGAGTTAGGAAGCTAGTCCAGAGATCTGAAGCACATTTGTGAAAAAACACCACCATTATTTTTATGTTTTTTTTTTTTTAATGTAAGTGTTTTGCCTGTATATCAGTGTTGTGCAATGCCTGTGGAAGCCAGAAGAGTAAGTCAGATCTCTTGGAACTGGAGTGATGGATGGTTGTTAGCCACCATGTGGGTATTGGGAACCAAACTGGGGTCCTCTGCAAGAGTACCCAGTGTTCTTCACCACTGAGCCATCTCTTCAACTCCAAAACACTTTAAATTCACCAAAGAGTTCCAGTCTCTTTAAAACAGCTAAACCATATGTCAGATCACTAATGAATTCTAAACTGTCCTTTTTTGTCTCTAAAATTAGAAAAACAACTGTATTTTTAGTTTTTAATTTATTTTATTTTTTTAAGAAAACTAAAACGCCCTTTTCTAGCAGGATGCAGCCTCTGACTTTGTCACTAGTTGTGCTGCTTAATAGGAGCCAGTGGCTTTTAAAACACCAGTTTCTTCTTCCCTTCCTTCCTTCCTTCCTTCCTTCCTTCCTTCCTCCCTCCCTCCCTCCCTCCTCCCTTCCTCCCTTCTTCCCTCCCTCCTTCCCTCCCTCCTACTCTCCTTCCCTTCCTTCCTTCCCTTTTTTTGTTTTCTGGGGTTTTGTTTAATTGGTTTTGGTTTTTGAGACAGAATCTTGCTATGTAGCCCAGGCTAGTCTCAAATTCCCAATCCTTCCCACCTCAGCTTTACAGATGTCACAATTAGAGGTTTGTGTGCCACTAGACTAGGCTAGTTTTCTCATTTATAAGATTAAAATCTTGTCGTGGATAGTTTTTTTTTAAAGTTATTTTAACTTCATAATAATTTCTGTATTTTAATGTGACTCTTTAAAGTCATCTTTGTTTTTAAGGAGCATGTATAATGGCCCACATTATGGAACATACTTTCATGGCCTCTTTAACCGTTGGTAATTCAACACAACGTGTATATAGGCAAGGGCAGCCTGGCTTGTGCTATAGCACAAGCTTCTGTATCTCAGAGGATTAAAATAGCCAAGTTTATTTTTGGTTCATTTGAACCTGCCTGCCTAAGCCTGGGTCTCTGTTCTGTGCCATCCTCATTCCAGGACTCAGGCCTTCAAACACCGATCACTGGGAGCTTTGCAGATGCTGCAGTAGAGGTGAGGGAGAGGATGGCTGCATCTGGTGTTGCGTTTGAAAGCTTCCACCCAGAAGTAAATATAGATTGCTTTTGCTTGTATGACATTGGCCAAAGCAGGTCACATGGACATATCTAACATCAAGGAAGCAGGAAGTAGTATCTCACAGTGTGGCCTAGACATGGGAAGACACAGGAACGCTTGGGAAGTAGCCCTTCTCACCACCCATTGTGTTTTTGTAGGAGTGTAAATTAGTACTACAGTTGTAGAGGCAACCTGCGAACATGCCAAAATCACTGAAACACATCTAGCATTCGATGAAGCAGCTATAGTTCTGAGAAATTATCGAACAGACACATAAAGATGCATATTCATTAAATGCATATTTATTGAGTGCATCCTATGTTCTAGGAGCTGACATGATCCATACATTCATGGAGCTTACCAGGCGAGGTAGGAGGCAAGGTTAGTGCTAGAGGTAATTGGAATGCTTCAGATTGAGTGCTGTACGGTGCTAGCCACCTGAAAACATGGGGAAGTGTCCTTGGGTCTCTTTTCCTGTTGAGCGATTCATGTGTGTAATGTGCTATTGAATACCTATTAAACCTAACTGCACATATAACTTTTCATTTATAAGATAAGAGCTCTCCTTAGTAACTCAGTTCTGCAAGTTACTTTTATAGTTTTCTATCTCTGAAGATCTTGTCAAGCTTAAGTTTTAGGAAGAAATGTCTTTCTCAGATTGTCACATCATTTTCAATATTTGCAGGTGTTTGGCAATAAAAATCTTAAGGCTAAATGGTTATATTTTTCCACCTTCATTGAAGTATGATTGGCACAATTAGAAGGAAATTTGATTCAAGAGAAGTGAGACAAGCCTGGCCCCATGGCTCCCTTTCCCCTTCTTTCTCCTGTTAATTAGATCACTTCCAGGATTCAGAGTAGACTGAAGAATATTCGATTCTCTTTAGAATTAGGAGGTTAAAAGAAAGTACAGAGAACCACACTAACTTTTTCTTCAAGGGATTATTTTCTGTTAGTGGAACACCTCTTCCAGGACCAAAGATATTAGCATTGCAAAACGGTTAAACGACTCATAATACTGTAAAAATGTTTTTGTTTTTTTTTCAGGAAGAAGAAAAGCGTGTGGCATCTATTGTAGCCAAAAAGGAAGAAGAGAAGAAGAGGGAAAGCCACAAACAATCTCTGCTTAAGGTACTTTCCTGATGTCTGCATCCGCACGCGCACACATGCACACACTGAAGCTGGCTAGCGCACGGAACATTGCTTTCTAGACTGCCAAGTTTTTATTCCAAGCACGACTATATGGTTTGTTGTTATTGTTTGTTATAAACAAACACTTCTGAAGGCTGTTACCGTTTCCTATCTACAGTGAGGCCTGAATTTAGGAAGTACAGTACGAGCTACATAATACAAGAAACACAAAAGCTAGATGTTTTTAAAGAGATGAAGCCTGTATGACAGGAGTTGTGGCCTGCTTCCTGCCAGCGCAGCATCTTCTGCATCTCCTGGGTTAGCCTGTCCCTTTGGGGAGCACTGTGAGTGGTCGCCATCTTTACTGATGTTATTGGAAGTGTTGCTCTGCATTGTTAATGATACCTTTTAAATTCAAAAAGTTTCTCTGTTAGCTCCTTTGATACAGAAATGGTCAAAATTTTGAGGAATTTTGGAATGGAAATTTGTTTTAAAGTAACTTTAAGCAATTAAGCATATCTGATATTACGTTCCCTGAATATAGTGATGCCTTTTATATTAAGATCTTTTGTATTAAGATCACAAGGTTTCAAACAGGTTAAAATGTGTGGCTTTTGGCTCATACTGTGTTCTGAATTGGGGCTGTCCTCCTGATTAGCAGTACTTACTCTTCTTACATACACGCTTTTCTCTTTAAAATTAAGTGACATTTGGAATTCAGAGTGACCAGAGAGATATAGGGTTGTGTGCCGAATGCTAGCTTTCTGGAGTGGTGGAACTGTTGTGTATCATGATGGGGGTGGCACAGGAACATGCACTTGACAAATCCGATCAGATACTTGAAGTCTGTATGTTCTGCTCTGTGAACACGATCTCAAAATTAGCAACTGCAAGACAAAACTTGTTCCCAAGCCCTCCCATATCAGAGCTACAACTTTAAAAGTGAGTAGAGTTAGTATATTGGATCCATGTCTGTTTCCTTGCCTGCTAGTACCTCTCCCCTCCCAGTTCTCTCCTCCGAGTTCTCTGAAACTTTTCTTAGCCCAGTAATTAGCTGTGCCTAAGCCCTCTCCTGACATAAATTCCACTTCGCTCATTTGTCCAACAGGATTTTAATCTTTCTTTTTTTGGACTCCCTAAGAGTTGACCAAAAATGCCCTGGTTTATAAAAATTTAGCTGTATGCAGTATTTTCAAAAAATTTATAGCAGCAAGATTTATTATTGTGAGGTCTAGCTGCGGGGAACCCTTTCCAAGTGGTTCGAGCAGAAGTAGTGTTCCCTGGCATACAGCTGCTGCTGTTCTGCACCTATGTGAATGAGTGAGAGACTGAAGAGACAGAAGAAAGTTGGGCTTGCCCTTGTGAGACAGACGCAGAGCATGGCAGAGAAGAAAGAGCGCAGAGATGCCACTGAGGATTTAGTTAGAAGCCTGCCGACCTGCCATTGTGAGGAGAGCCTGAGACAGCCCCGAACCAACCTGACTTCCCCTTTCTGCTGACATTTTCTCATCGTGCTCAGCTGCCTCTCACTGTTGGCATTTGGGAAAATATGCCATGGAAATTTTAGCCAACATTTGAAAGTGTATTTGGGAAGTTTTAACGAGAATTTTAGATAATAGCTATTTCTTTGAAATCAGGGATGTAATTATAAGGATGGGTTTATTTGTTACCTTAGTAAGAAGAGAAGCGTGTGGAGTCAGCGACCCAGGCGCCTGCCCTCAACAGAGCTGGAGTCATGACACAGCACAGCTTCAGATTCTAAGGCTGTTTTCTTGCAATTTCACGTGTTGACCATGAAGAAAAGGACATAGGTTAGGGTAGAGGGAGGGAAGCGTCTGTGGACCTGCACCTTCAACCTTGCTCTCTCTGTGGCTTTTGTTTCTCTTGGAACCTTGAAAATGAAGCCAAGTGGTAGTTATGGCACATGCTGATGTGGTCTTACCTGGACAATGAAGACTCAAATGCAGAAGGTAGAATTGCCATCTTCTAAGATATTTGTGGTGTTAACGTACACGTGGCACCTCACAGCCACCTGAGGTCTAAAGCATCCCCCAATCTTGGAGAATAAGCCACTGTCTGGGCCTGCTCCCCTGCTGCGCCTCCCCTCTGCTTCTCTTGTCTTGCTCTGTAAAAGTCTTAAGCCCTTTTGTGACCTCCAGACTAGGCAGTGATTCCCGCTTGACCTCGGGATATGTTCCTGTCTTAAAGTAAGTTTATTATGACCCCAACAAAATTATCCACTCTCTTAGTCAACCTAGTACTGAGCTGATTTTAGCAACCTAAGAGAAAGAAGCTTAACTTTGGCATGGGCATAAGAAAGTGTTTGATTTTCAGAGACCATCTTTTTTGACATTTGTGAACGTATCCAATGGTGGAAATATATTTTATGACTTTTTTTCTAAACACTGATATATATATAAAATGAATATTTTTTTCTGCTAAACCCTTTCATCTAGGATGCCAAATGCATGGCACCAGTGGCCTTGACACTAAGTAGAAGTAACAGAATTATTTAGACTAAGAGTTGGGTTGGCACAGTCATCAGCAAATAACAAATAGAATTCCTACAGTAAGATTTTTTATTGTAGATTAGAACAATCATGTTTTATAGTAGAATAACAGAATCTACTTGCTTTGGGTAAGAACATCATGTATAAAATGTCAAACATCTCAGAAACATATACATATTAACTGTAGCCCTCTTAACTGTACTGACATTTGAAATAACAAATAGTAGAACAAATAACTCGGGCCAAAAAGATTTTTTTAATATTTTATTTTTATTTTCTGTGTATGAGTGTGTTGCCTGCATGTATGTGAGTGCACCCGTGTAGTGTAATGCCACAGAGGTCAGAAGAGGGCTTCGGATTCCCCTGGAACTGGAGTTAAGGACAGTTCACAGCTGCCATGTGGGTGCTGGGAATCGAACCCGGGTCCTCTGCAAGAGCAGTCAGTGCTCTTAACTGCTGAGCCATCTCTCCAGATCCCAAAAAGATTTTTTTAAAACATAAAAGTAGAACTTGCTGAAATCTTAAGTAAACAAATATAGGCAAAGAGGTATAGCTAGAAATGCTCGTTGTAATTTATGTAGGCACCAAGGGAATGGGAAGAGAACCCTCCTGACCCCTTTCCACCTGCTGCAGAGCAAGCTTGTGAAGAGGTTAGTAATGTGCTCAGTTGGGAAGTTTTATATGAAAGAGAAAAGGAAAGAATCTGTTTTCAGCACTCAGATATAACAGAGATGTCATTGAAAAATATTAACTTTGGGACTGGAGAGCTGACTCAGGGGTTAAGAACACTGGCTGCTCTTGCAGAGGACCTAAGTTTGAATTCCAGCACCACCGTCAACAACTCATGTTCCAGGGGATCCGACACCCTCTTCTGGCCTCCACGGACTCTGTACAACATGGGTACACTTTTATAAATGCAGGCATGATACACATACACATAAAATAAAAATAAGTAAAGTTATAAAGTAGTACTTTAAAAAATGTTTTGGGGCCAGCAAGATGGCTCAGCAGGTAAAGGCACTTAGCACCAAACCTGATGATCTGAGTTCAGTCCCCAGAACCCACATGGTAGAAGGAGAAAACCAACTCCTGCAAGCTGTCCTCTGACATACCATGGTGCATGTGTGCACATGCACCTCCCCCAGCCCCCCACCTCCACTAAAAATGGAATGAAAATAATAAAATAAAATATTATCTTTTGATAATGGTGACAACATGAGACTAGGCACCCTTTATCCCAGTAAATATAAACTGAATGTAAATAGAGCAGAACATTTCCTTCAGTGGCTTTGATCTGCATTTCTCAGTGGGTTTCTATGGCTTTCAGTATGAGAACTGGTCCTTGAACTGGCAGCACTAGCAGGACCTGGAGTTTGTTACATGTACAGACTCTTGAGCCCCCTCCACATGCACTGTCAGTGTGGTGAGACTCAGCAGTCGGCTTTAAAAGCCCTCTGGGTTGACTGAGGCACCCTAAATGTGAGCACCACTACCTTAAGGCATCTTTTGCTTGCAGTTAATCTTTCCTGTTCTTCTAGAATGATACCAATAATCTAGGAACAAAAATTAACACAACTTCTTTTAGTAGCCCAGATATTCTTTTTTCATCTTTAATGTTGTAATTTATACCATGGGGGCTAGAGAGATGGCACAGCAGTTAAGAGCACTTAGTGTTCTTGCAGAGAACCCAGGTTTGGTTCCCAGCAGCCATGTCAGGCAGTTACAACCACTTGTAACTCCAGAGGATCCAGTACCCTCTTTTGCCCCCCCCCCCAGTACCTACATGCATATGCACATACATCCGTGTAGACACACACATACACAAAAATGAATAAAATAAAATTAGTCTTAAAATAACATTGTTCCACCTTGAAATACTGATCAGTCCATACCCTTCCTCTCACCCTAATTATTGGGTGAAAGATTAAAGTATTCGTTTTTTCTTGTTCAGCTTAAAGACAAGGGTGTACAACTTTGCCAAATTAAAGTTTTATTTAGTAAAGTTTCGCTGTCCAGTAGGTTATATATATATATTTTTTAACAAACTAAGTTCTTAAGAAATTATTTTTATAGACAATCTTTTCCTATAGGGTGACATGATTTTTAATCCATTTGAGCACATGAATAAATACAGGCCTCTTGAACTTTCTGTAGAGTGTGTGTTGGATAGCTACTTGTGAAGAATTGTCTCTTTAGAAATACTGGAAGAAGATGCATGCAAACAGTGCCTCGGTTTCTCCCTTCACACACTTGAGTTATATAATTGTTCCATTTGCTTTTTCCACAGGAGAAGAAGAGGTTAACAATTAACAACGTAGCCCGGAAGTGGGACTTGCAACAACGAATAGCCAATATTGCTGCCAGTCAAGATATAAAAGCCTCCGAGTGTCCTCAGGAGCCCTGTCAGACTGATGAGAACACCCTTTCTACATTTCCAGAGGAGACAGGGTATGCAGTGTATTCTTTCAAGCTGCTAGTGTTTCTAGAGAATTGACTTCAGAAGGGAGACTGGAAACCATGTCACACATAATTGTTTTTGAAGAATAGTTTTCTTAAGAAAACTTACTGAAAGCAGAAGTTTAAATTAAAATGCTAACCATGTCACACATAATTGTTTTTGAAGAATAGTTTTCTTAAGAAAACTTACTGAAAGCAGAAGTTTAAATTAAAATGCTAAAAGGGAAAAATTGGAAGTATAAATCTGATTGTAACATTTTCCTACTTTCAAATCCATCCAATGGGCTGCATGTTTGCACAGGGGTGAAGTTTAAATGACTTAATAGGGCCTATGTGGCTCTGCCACCTCCCAGTTTCTTCCATGCCATCAAGTACCTTCTGTGTTTACAGCCACACTGACTTGCTGGACAGCTCTAGTTGTCAACTTGACACACCTGGGAAGAGGGACCCTTGATTGAGGAATTTCCTCTCAGACTGGCCTGTGGCCAAGTCTGTGGGGTATTTTCTTGGATGTTGAATGATGTGGGAGGGCCCAGCCCACTGTGGGTGGTGCCACCCCTGGGCAGGTGATCTTGGGTTGTATAAGAAAGTAGGCTGAGCATAGGCCAGGGGAGCAAGCCAGGTAGGTGCTTTAGTTCCTGCTTCCAGGTTCCTACTTGAGCTCCTGCCCTTGCGTCCCTTGATGAAGGACTGTACTGTAAGCCGAGATAAACTATTTCCTCTTGAAGTTGGTTTTGGTCAGAGTGTTTTATCATAGCAATAGAGAAGCAAAGTAGGACACTGACCTTCTTTTAGTTACTCATCTGCCTCTGACCTAAGACTGTTTCTCACAGGAACTGTCTCCTGCCCTAACCATAGCCCTGTCATAGCTCACTCAAACTCACCTCATAGAACTTACAGTAAGCCTCACAACCCCTAAAGCCTTCTCCAACTTCAGAGGCTAGATTATACCCTTTGTCTTTCCGCATCCTACATGTCTTCTTACTACAACCTTAGTTAAACAACAAGATGGTAGCTAGTTGTTTTATATCTGTCTTGCCCAGTGCAAGCTTCATGAGTACAAGAATCTTTGATTTTTCTTGCTGTTGTATCCCCGGCAGCCAGTGCAAAAACCTTCCTCAAGTAGTAGTCGTAAACAATTTAGCATGAAATCTGAGCAGTTAAGTTCTGTGTGGTCTGTGGATCTGTCCATTCCAACAGCTCACTATCTATGTTTTTAAACTTTTGTTGAATTTTGTGTATCATGCAGAAAATCACCTTTATACCTCCTTCCCCTTTGGCACCCTCCCATAACACCCCCCCCACACACACTGGAATTCATATATTCTCTCATTTCGGTTAAGGCCTATCATGTAAAGTTAGTGTCCCCAGATGTCCCTCAGTGCACTTAAGTTCATCCACTGGGATCTGGTCCACCTCTCTAGAGTCCCTCCCTTTAAGATCATCTCTTCCTCATCCAGCAGTAATCAACTGCCAATAATTCTTTGACTAAGATTGGGGCCTGCGGTTCATTTCCACAGTTCTGTGCTGGGTTTTTGTCTGCTTAAGTTTTCATGGGTCTTTAGCATGCTGACACCATTGCTGTAGGTTTGTATGAGAAGGGTCCCAGGCACTGGGACCTAAAGGATTATTTCCATATGGTCGTGCACCTCCTCCCTGGCTCATACAGTCTTTCTGCCACCTCTTCTGCAGTGGTCCCTGATCCCTGGGTGGGTGGATTTTAATATAGGAGCCCTGTCCAAGGACCCATATTCTGTAGACTCTATTCTCTGTATTTTGGCCATTTGTGACCTTTTGTGTTCCTGGTTCTGTTGCTTGAGGGAGCTTCATTGATGACAGTGGAAAGATGCATTAGTGTTCTCTTCATCCCTTGTTCTGTGTTCCGTAAGTCTGAGGTATAGAGGTTTCATCCTAGATGTGCCACTTAGACTTGGGCATTTCAGAGATAATCTCTATGTGTGGCCAGTTGTGGAACTCTGTAATTATCTCTCTCTCTTGAAAAAGAAGCTTCTTTGATGGGTGGTGACTGGGATATTTGTCTATATATTTAAGGATCCATATTTCGCACATAGCAAGAAATTACATTTGTCTAGAAATGTGACAGCCTTGGGGTTTTCTCCAAGATCTCTGACCTCTCCAGCTATGTGTATTTGGATAGGTTTATAGTACCAGACATGAGTTTCCTCCCATTGATTGGGCTTTTAGTCCAATTAGGTAGCTGTTGATGACGCCCAAGATAAAAGTGCCACTACTACACCAATGTTGCTTGCTATGCTGGTCATTGATGTGGTTTTTAGGTCTTGAAACTGGGGTTGGATCATTGATTGATGTTCTCCCTTAGCAGCTTACACTGTCTCTTTTCTTGCATCATAGAAACAGCAGTTCTCACAATACTACCTAGACCACACATCTCTGCCTCTCAAGAAAGCATACTGGGGGGGGGGGGCTGGAAAGATGGCTCAGTGGTTAAGAGCACTGGCTGCTTTTGAAAAAAGGACCCAAGTTTGGCTCTCAGCACCCACATGGCAGTTAACAACCCTCTGTACCTTCAGTTCCAGGGGATCCAATGCCCTTTTCTGGCCTCCATGGGCATTGCACACAATGTACTTACATACCTACAGATAAAACACTCATACACATGAAATAAAAATACATAAATAAATTTTTTTTTACAAAAAAGAAAGCATATTGTAGCCAAGCAAATGAGGAAACAAGCATTATAGATTTGTAAAATTTATGTCTCTCTCTATATAGATAGATATATAATTTAAAGCTAAAGCCTAAAGATCTAAACTCTATGTTTTAGTTTGAAGAACATTTCTTTTATTAGCTTTAACAAATGTTGAAATATTTCAGATATAGAATATAGCTTTTATTTCAGTTTTTAGCTAGAATTCTTCAAATCTTTCATATGCAAAGAATGTCCTGAAATAGTTTTAGAAACAGAATAATGTTTTAGAATTTTCTGGAATGAGAGTATGGTACATATTTAAGCAAACTTTACGATTTTTAGATTCACTTAATGTGTTTCCTTCAGCTTGCTTAGAAATCACAGAACTCAGCTCTGCTCTTTGGAAAGCAAAAGCAACAAAAACAGAAATTCTAATTAAATCATGATTTGTGGAACTATTGTGCCATTATAATATAGTTCTAGGGTTATTTTTAATATCACATAAATGTCAAAATACAGTTCTCTTAGTGAGAACTGTAGTACTTTATAACATTAAAACCTTGTAAGCACTAGACTTTAGGTTTATTAAGTTTATAAAACAATGTATATCAGAACTATCTCTGATATATATATATATATATATGCATAATTTTGGTCTTTTTGAGACAGGGTCTCCCTGTAGCCCCAGCTGGCCTGGAACTCACTATGTAGACCAGGTTAGCCTTGAACTCACAGAGATCCACCTGCCTCTGCCTCCCGAGTGTTGGGATTAAAGGCACGCGCCACCATGCCTGGCTTGCTTTATCTTTAAAAAAAAAATTTTATGTGTATGAGTGTTATGTCTACATGTATGTAAGTGTACCCATGTCATGCAGTGCACATGGAGGACAGAAGATGGCATTAGGCTCCCTGGAACTAGAGTTATGGACAGTTGTTACCTCTCATGTGGCTGTTGGGTACTGAACCTGGGTCCTCTGCAAGAGCAGCCAGTGCTCTTAACTGCTGAGCCATCATCCCCTCTGATTTATCCTTTTTTGTTTTTTGGGGTTTTTTTTCTGTCTTTTTGAGACAGAGTCTCCCTATAGCCCCAGCTGTCCTGGAACTCACTATGTAGACCAGGCTGGCCTTGAACTCACAGAGATCCGCCTGCCTCTGCCTCCCGAGGGCTGGGATTAAAGGTCTGCATAAAGACATGTTTGTTCTGTCTTGCTCAAGACTTTCCTTAGGTTAAAGATGACTGTGTGATACTCAAGAGGCTTATTATTGGGGATTTATGGGCAGAATGAGTTTTTGAAGTTGAAGATTTTAGAGGTAGACTCTATCTGAGTAACAGTGCTTAAGAACAATGTGGCAGCCATTATTATGGCTGCAAAGGGGGGTTGCTGGAGAAGGCGTAGAGGTCATGTCGCTAGAAGAGGGGTAGTCTTAATTACCACTGTAGACTGGAGTTGCAGTGGTGGAGCTGGAGTGAAGGTAGGGCCAAGGCATGCATCAAATAATCACCCTCTTTCCTTCCAGTCTCTGCTGTGTGTCCTAGGCCACAGTTAGAGAGTTATCCAAGTTTTCCTCGCATCAGCTTCTGCAGTAAGTGCCAATGTGCTATAACATTAAATGACTCTTTCCTCTGAAAAAGCTGTCTCTGACAGATGGATCCCAGACTGGATTGCAACTTTCTTAACATTTGAACTTAGCTTATAGCCCCAAATTCTGACTTTCTAAAATAACTTAAAATTGTGAAGTCAGATCAATGCAAGCAATCAAGTGAAAAGAAAGTATCTGTTAGTGAAAATTTCTGTGTCCTATAGTTACTCCCACAAGTATCCAAATTTTTATAAGAAGTTCTACAGAGTTGGAGGCTTTTAATACGGGAGGTGCACAGGAAGAGCTGAAGACGTGGGCAAAGTGTGCGTTCAGTGGGGAATATGTAAAGCCCAGAAAGTAGTAATTAGGAAAGCAGTTCACAATTTCTGGGAAAAGATTGACTTTTTAAGCTTTTTGGTTTTTTGTTTGTTTGTTTGTTTTGAGACAGGGTCTCCCTGTAGCCCCAGCTGGCCTGAAACTCACTATGGAGACCAGGCTGGCCCCGAACTCACAGATATCCACCTGCCTCTCAAGTACTGGAATTAAAGGCCTGTAACCATGCCCAGTTTCCACATTTTTAAACTTTTAAAAATTACATTTTATTTATTGATTGGTTGATTGTGTGCGTATATATGGGGGGGGTGTCTGTGGGTCAGAGGTTCTGTTTTCTTTTTCTACCATGTGGGTCCCAGGGTTTGAACTTAGGTTGGCAGACTTGGCAGTAGGTGCCTTTACCCAC